ATTTATTATAATATTATAAATATACTTACTTAAACTACATTACTTAAAGTACATTAAAGGACATATGTATATCTGAATATTTTTCATAATAAATAAATGTGTATCTAAATGATATCTTTTTTTTTATTAATTTCATCAATTAAGCGGTCTAAAAGAGTCAGATAGTATTATTTTCGAATTGTTCTAATTTCTCAAAATAGCTAAAATAAATGCAGCACCAATCTAACCCTAGCATCGAGGAACTATGCTACTCTTATGTGGGTATCGGGACACGAAGGCCATGAGGGCAATGACCATTTCATTGGTCCAGAGCCCTTGTGCGGGGTAACAAACTTATCACTGGAGAGCCCAAACAGGCATGCTACAGTCGAAAAGATTCATTGATCCTGAACACATCAATGTTGATGTTATCCTTGGCCTTAGCAGAAACGACATTAAAATCTACACTGAACTTCTTACAGGACACTGTAGACTTAATTACCACATGAAAATTATAGGTGCGGTACATTAGAAGCGGGATCTTAGTCACAAATCAAATAGGTTAAAGTAAGCCCACAGTAATTTATTATAATTAAGATTTATAAATTGTCTAGAATTGTCTTTTTGGACCTTTAGGTGCGCAATTGATCTTTTAGGTCGGGGTGCATTCATAGCGTATTATTTAATAATAGTAATAATCTAGCTAACAATTTTTTTTACGCGCAAGAGTCACTTGAGATTTTTTCTTTATCAAGTACCTTTAGTCAACGATCTTACAATAATTACTAGATCATTAATTTTTTCCACATTATTACGACTATCAATTTGACATTCTGTCCACTTAGTATCTTTGATGCATATAAGAACGGAACTAAACTAGATGAACTATTTTTCCATCATTTGAATCTTCATACTGCTTGTTAAACTTTTTTTTTTGCTTTAAAAAATCTTTTTTTAATGTTGTAATTAATACTCGAAATTATTTTTTCTCCTTTTTTACAAATTTACCAAAACTCGTACGTATCAAACAGCCGTCAAAAAAATTACGTTCCAATATCGGAGAAACAGTCTAGACTCGAACTTTTAAATATTTTTAGATTATAAAAGGTTAATCAAATTTTTAGTTTTAATTTTTAAATTCATTTATATAGCGAATAGCCATCGGCAATGCTTAAACAAATTATATATATATAATTTATAGTTTAATAATTTTATAATACAGTTTATTTCGCAAAATCGATCAATAGTGAACAGAACTAGTTTCAGGTTAAGATGTAATAAAAATTGACTTGTCTAACATTGTTCGTGACAGCATCAAACTAACATTTAAGCTACTTCTCCATAGTTGTATGTTAAAATTCTAATCCAAATAAGAAAAAAAAATATAAAATTTATTTATGATGGAAAAAATTTACAATAATTAAAAACCAATTAAGGCGACGTGCGTTGCGCAGACGAACTCCAAAACTCAAAAACACATAAAAAGGAATGACAGCCTTAACTGCTTAACAGCTTTGACGTGTCTTCAAACTGCAGTTGGAGTTTATTTTAAATACTTTATATATAAAATGGTGTGGTCAACCATAAACAGATTAATTTTTATTTATTATAATAACAAAATAAAAAATATACATATACGTCAAATTGTCTTTAAAGTGAAATCCTATGTCACGTGTCAAATGCGAACGTGCACACTTCAAAGCTTAATTTATTTGTTTATTTTTAATTTGCTGTTTTGCTTATTGATTTTTATTTATTTAAAGAATTATGTTGCTAATAAAAAAAGGCAAATAAGCAAAAATTTATGTACTATCGACAAGTTATATTCACATATTCGTACAAGTATTTGGCCACTTCAGATATCAAAGAAAAAGTTTTGAAAGTTCGCGCTTGTGGGTATTTGCTGTGATCAAACATTTAAGCGCAAATCTCTTGACCCAAATTCGAGTACGCGATATAAAAATTAAATGTTTTAAATAATTACCCGATTCGTATGTACATTTGTTGAACAAATGCCAGTGGAGAGAGAGCACATAAATTAAGTATAACAGCAAAGATTGTTTTACAAGAAAACAGTCCAAAACAAACTTCTTAACAAAACAAACTGTCAAACTGTCTGCGAATGGACAATTTTGTATATTCTTCAGATATACACATTCGCATGTAAGAGCTTTTCATTGTTTTTTCTTAGCTGACATAAAAGTTGATATACAATAAATATTATAAGATTTTTTGCTACAAAGTTTAAAAACAATTTAATTAAGACCGGTTGCTATCTTTTACAAATACTAAAACTTGAAGATTTATGTGAAAACAACGAGGAGCAAATTTATAAACTTTTCTTTTTTAAGAAAAGTGAAGCAATGATTGACTTTGAAGACATTAGTTGTTTTAAGGAATAGAGAATATATGGTAAGATTAAAAAAATATATATATAAAAAAATTTAAATTAATTGCCAAATTTTATCCGAGTTAGCTTTATCAAAATCAGTTTGCATTATATACAAAATACATTATATATTAAAGATATTATGATGGATTCAGTTAGTTTTGTTAAAATTGTAATATTCATTTTATCAAGCAAACAAAAAACACTATTATGTTTAGATATGCTATTTAGTCTCCAATATAACTAACAAACAAAAGAAGGCTTTAATTTCTGCTGGCATATAAGCCATGATTTCAGAAGACTGGAAGGCTAGAAAGCTGCTTAAGTGTAGTAGAGTATAAAAAAAAGTTGAGAAACATTGATGAAGATTATAGTTAGATTGTATAGTAGTATACTATACTGACTAATTGATAACATTGTTTGTTGGTTGCAGTGGTAGGCCATAACATAACTTCCATGTATCTCAATAAGCGATTTTTCATCGTTTTGCTACCACATTCCTCGCAAGAACCCTAATATAGAAGAGTAGAGACTAAATACACCCCGCCGAATTTAAATAATTAAATAAGTCTTTCGTCTTCACCGATGAACAGTCTGATAAACTATCAAAGAAGTATCTTCCTAAGAACCTATATTTTATAGACGCCAAAGACGGGCATTCATAGAGAAAGTGTATTATGGTTTCTTTTTTCTGCGGGTTTCCACAACTTCTGCAGTAAGGATTATGAAATCGATAACATAATATATAATAAATAAAGACTTATTTTGCATCACTAAGAGGCTATCTTAATAGCGAAACTTAATTAGTACTTATAGATAGATTTATAAAAAAAAATGAGATTACATTCAGTCCCGTAAACCAGTTTACAGGGCTGCGTCTTCAAGTCATTTAATAAAATTCTTGTCATAATTAATTAAAGTTGTCCCACAGCAATCATTTACCATCCCTTAATAACTATCTTGTTTTGCCTGGATGTTACATGTCTAGTTTTAAAGAGCCATACATAACCAATGTTAGACAACAGAAAGTATTGAAAATTGAATGACTAAAATTACAAATTATTATACAACTAAACTAAGGATTTTATGATGTGTTCACAACTATTTTAAATGAAACAACATTATATAATATATATGAAACGTACATTTACTGCTGCATACATTTGATAAAGTGCATTTCATAAAGTTCATTTAATAAAGTTAACTTATATGTATGTGCATGTTGAAGTTACTTTAATCATAAATTGTTGAGCTGTTTGGAAAGCAACTCGTTTTCGTTTTTTCTGAACAGAGAGCTTAATTGTATTTCTTTACAGTCAACCTCACGCTTAAGCCGCACAATTATTATATGTTATGACATGTGAAAAAAATCAATTGATTTTCAATTTATACTATGAAAAAGATAAAAATGCTGTCAAAATGAATAAAAATTATCTGGTGTGTATGCAGAAGATTTATGAAGATGCACTACATCTGGAGGGCTAGTTAAAGGTCATAAAAATATAATCAAGGTATTAATTGTTGCGGATAATAACTCAATAGATCGATGGAAGATCAAATTTATTAAATTTTATCATTCATGACAATTTAAAATACCTAAGCTTGATCTCAAAGCACGACATATAAGTTCTACAGAATCCATATGTAGTTGGATGTTGTTTCTCATATGTCCGTGTTTGAAACACATCATCACATCATGAAGGATAAGAAATGGGTTGTGCAGAACAATATTACATGTAAGTTATCATGTATTCCATATGATTAACTAGCTTAAAACCTTTCGAAAGCCGCCATTAAAAAAAAAGGGAGATGCTCTTTATTGAGATTTACAGAAACCTTTCTTTTCTTTAAACTTCTCCGGATAACAGAACAATCGATTCTCATGAGAATTCTCATGCTGGACAAATTAAATAGTTCAATTACCAGAAAAGGCTAGAACTTTTCAATAGAGAAAGTGCTTCACCAAGATATGAGATCTGTAAAAGTTTTGTGACTCTTGCTGCCACATTTACAATATTCTCTAGATCTGCCAACTTCTAATTATTATTTATTTCGGTTTTAATAAAACTTTTTAAATGGTAAAATCTTTGCTTGAAATAAGAAGGTTCAATAATTATTTGTATTAGTTTTTTGTCAGCAAAGAACAAAACGTTTAAAACATGGAATAATGCCAGAAAGATCACAAAAGTTATTCTACTAGAATGGACACTATATAATTCAATTAAATATTAATTTTGTAATAATAAGATATTAATTTAATTTATGTAATTAATTTAATACAATAACAATAATTTTACAAAAATTTTTAATTTCACAAAAAAAAAAACAACGAAATTAACTTTCGAATAATCCTATAGCAAGAACTGGGAAGCAAAAAAAATAATATCAATATCTGTAAAATCTTTAGAAACAATAAAACTAATAAAAACCGAAACAATTTATTAACGTAAACGCATAAAAAAAATTTGTTCACTCTAAATTTTAACAGTTTATACATTTTGACACATTTTTATTCCCTAAAGCACTCTCAAAATCAAAAAAATAAAATGTGTTCACTTAAAAATATCTCATCACATCCTATCAACTTAAAAATAATTATGGTTAGCTAAAATTTACTTTGAAGTACACTCACCTGTTGTGCGTTTCTAGAGAGCGCGGCGGCATTTGTACGTTGGGCCTGTGATCGTAATTGCGGTTGTGGCGATCCCAGAGGGCTTACAATTGTTGAAGTTGAACCACCAATGCCGGTGTCATAGCCGCCTTGAGCATTACTGCAGTCAACGTCTTTAAAAGAAATAAATATAAATAAAATAAATAGTAATATAAATAGTAAAGAAAATAAGATAAAGTTTGCAAATAATATTTAATTAATAAGAATTATTGTTAAATAATTGAAAAGCATGTAAATATGTAATGCAATGCAAATGTTACTCATGAACTTGCATGAAAAATGCAAAATATATAATATTTTCATCAAAATTTTTACTGTGAGAATTACTTTTCTTAAAGATAGTTATTTCATTTGTTGATATGAAAATTTTAATTTGCATTTCAGTCCAGACTTAAAAAGCTATTTAAATAAATGGCTTGAAGGAACCGCAATGCCTTAAGCACATTTCATAAATCATCAATTTGTGAATCATGTGAAACCCACTTCGGCCTTTTAATATTCTGTAGAAGTGCCGAAAAAAACGAGTGAATTATTTTTTATTGCTATTTTTAATATTCTTTTGACAAGTGTGAAAATGTGAAATTACATTTATTGCTCATTATTATTACCTCAATTTTTATAAATAATATTGTATTGCAATTAAGTATTTTTTATATATTTTGTGCATGAATTATTGTGTGAGAAAATAATTCAAAGAATTTTAAATTGGTTCCTTAATGAAATAAAATAAAAAAATTGATAATTTAAAATTGTTGAACTGTTGAACGGGTAAGGTATTCAAAAACATTTGAAGGTAGTCCAATTATTTAGACAGAAAAACAATCAATAAGCAATTAGCTTAATAATAATAATAAAAGAGTGGACGTGAAAATTGTACCAGTTTCACTATTGATTAAACAAAGCCCCTTAGAGCTTTGTGAATAAAGTCTAGAACTAAATCTAGAGAAGAGTTCTTAATCTGATCCGGTGACAGAAATTCTTTATGAAACAGGTTTCACAAAGAATGTGCATGTTCGTTTCCTCATCTTCGAGGCATAATCTGCATTCCGAGTTAGCAGATAATTGTAGTTTATGAAGGTGATATTTCAGACCATAGTGACCTGTAATGAAACCCGTTATCAACCTTAAACTACATTTTGAGAACTTAAGAATGTCTTTGTAGGAGTACGGTGTTATCAGTGCTTTGCTTTGTCTGAGTCCTGGAAATTTTACCCAGTACTCTAGCCGCATATGATTTTCCATTTTCTTGATAATCTGCAATTAGCTTTTGTTAAGCTTAATGTTTTTTCTGGAAGATTTTAGTTGTAGTCACATATAGAAACAGCATATTATATACATAATTGATTTTAACTAACGAATTATTGAGCTAAATATCTTGTTTTCATCATATCATTTTAAATGACAATTATAATTGACTGCTGTGTCAAATGCGTTTTCATTACATGACAAGAATGCGAATATGACATCATATGACTACCCGTCTTCATTATACCGACAATATTTAACGTTAAAAATGACATAGTGAAAACGAGGCATAATTTTAGTATTAAAAATTGACCAAACTATATGTTTTTGGTTTCCAGGTCGAGGAATTACATTTTGTATTTATGTCACAGGTATGAAACATATAATATTTTATTATGTGGTAGCTAGTTATAGCTATTGCTTAATATATTTAATTTTTAACAATTGATTAGTATGTTGTATATATTGAAATCAAAAAAACTCATTAGAACCAATAGACAAAATAACTCTATTAAAGCCTAATATATCAATTGACATATATGTAGGTACAAAATTCTAAGCAACTAAACTTTTTCGTATTAAATATTGTTTGTTATGTTGTATTCAAATTTTATTTGAAGTAGAGTACTATAAATTAACTAATACTACATAAAAATAAATGTTAATTTAGATTAGAAATATACTTCCTTTAATTAAATAAACCTCAACTAAAATATGACATGGATTATTAGTAATAAATTCGATGGTATATAATATGAGTATGAGTCAAGATTTGTTCAACTGAGATAAACGTGAACTATTCCATTTACAAATTTTATACAGACGCGGATTTAGATTGGTACTCACCTTTAAGCGAACCATTCGTGCACATTGGACACTGATCATTGCGAAACATGCAGGAATAACAGCGTTCATGGCCACAAGTGTCGATCAGTTTCCGTCGTTTGCCTTTATCGAATGAAATACGACAACTGGGGCAAACGTTTCCACTGGTGTCATGTTCCAGCAGGCGGCGTATAGATTGCAAATCTACAAAAGAAAAACAATAAAAAAATTTATTATGTACAAATAATAAAATTATGTAAAATATTCACTAATGCAATGCATTGAGTTTGAAATTGATAGAAAAAATGCATAAAATATTGAATTTTGCGTAATTAGTTACACTGCAAAATTTACTTTATGTCGTATTATGACATTTTATTGGCTATTATAAATTAAAAATTTAAAAAATTTATGTTGTTCATTACCTAACAAACATTTTTTCTAAAAATGTTAAAATGAAATAATCATTTTTTAATAACTTCGTGAAATGTTACTGGATCAAAGTTCACGGATTTAGTGTATATGTTTATTGTGATAAGTTAACTAATTGAAAGGTTAATATGAGTAAAAATTTTGGATATTGAAATATTCTTGATATTTTTAAACATATAGATTTGGTAAACGTTTCATTAAATCTATTTTTTATGGGTTTTTCAATGTATTTTTCAATATATTTGTTGGATGTTATAAAAAAAATTTGATATATTATAATTCAAATAGAGCCAAATACTATACTATAGTATAGTAACTTGGCGTCTAGATTGGGTAGTCATTGGCAAGATTTTTCTCTTCGAATGGAAGTATGTATTATTTTCGAATATTGACTATTATTTTGAGTATTATTTTATATTATATTGAGTATTATTTTCAAATATTAACGAATATTGAATATTGAAATTTGCTTATGTAAGTGAAGAATTAAGAGTATGCATAAATCTTGCCCAAGTCTAGCCACTGTAAACGCAAGTTAAGTGTTGCGTACTAATTGAAATTGACATTTTGGTACACAAAATGCTGTAATATAACATATTGTGGTTTTAGCAAATTATTTTATTTTAAAATATGTGACATACGTTAAGTGTAGATAATTTATTCAGTAGTATGATTGAATAACTATAAAAATAAGTACTCTGAATTTCGCATTGATTTAAGTTAAATAGTGATATTTTGTTTTGATAATTGTACATACATAATATAATAACACTACGTAGCTAATATATCTGATTGTTTGTAAACACATTATTGCAGCTATCAAGGATTTCATATGTTTTGGCACCTCTATTAATTACAACAAGAATTTCAATCAGGAGTTAGAAAATGGGTTATCATTGTCATTGTCAGTGTCATTGGTTTTTTCGACCGAAAAACAGATCTTAAGATTTTTGTTCGAGTTGACTATATTTACTGCATCCGTACAAACATGAACTTTAAGAGGTTTATCATGTCATTGACATTCAGCATAAAAAGATTTTGAGGAGGTGGTCGAAAAAACAAGACATTGAGGAAAATTGCGCCTGTGTAGTAATATAACCTGAACCCGCCAATGGGTTGTTAAAGTTAGTTAAGTATATAGATATTTTTTTATTTGTTACATGATACATTACTATCATCCATAGTCTTTCAATCATGTGCTTAAAGATATTATTATTTTAAATTGAATTAATTTAAATATATTAATATTATGACATAATTTAAATCAGCATATGTGTTAAACTCTAAGTAACTTTTATAATAAGGTTCTATAAAAAATATTAATTATATTAAAAAAAAATACATAATATTAATTTTATTACTAAAAGTTTTTCACTTAAAGATTTAGAGTACAATTTCTTAGTTATACATAAAACATAGTTATGAGTGTTACCTTAAATCTATGTTGTCAGTAATAACAGACCAAAGAACCTTTGACATTTATAGTATTCTACCGATCTTAAGCTGAAGCATATGTGGAAATATAATAAAAATATGGCCACAATTTGTGTTTAAAAAAAGTTTTCCTAAAATCCATAAATTAGTTAATATTTATAGAATTCTATGTATAATTTATTATATAAATTTGATACATTTAATATCCATTGAATACAAATCAGAATATGAAACCTTCACCCTTTTAAAGTATATTTTAAAATACATACATATATTCAATGATTGAAGCCACTTCACTATAATAAAAGCATCCCACAAGCTGCACGCATGTTTGATATAAGTGGGTTTTTGTTATGCGCACATATTCGCATAAAAAAAATAAAATTACCATTACGATGTGAAGGGTAAAAATATCGGTCGTGATAGGCTCTATAGTGATTTAAATATATAGAATAAAATTAAGATAAAATTTGTTGTGACTTTTTGAAACTCCTTAACCTTTTCCAAAAATTATGGTTTATATAATGTATGCAATGTGTTTTTTTTTTAAATTTATTATTAATGAACGCTATATATAATATGATACACAGAATTAAAATTATTAATTCGAAATATCGATCTACTTAGATTTATTTCAAACCAAACCAAGTCTCCTTACGTCTTCAGATGTACCTCTGGATGTAAGTATGTTATAACCAGAGTTCGGAATGTGGTGCACAAAATCGCACACTGCACTGTGCGAGTGGAAATTATTTTTAAAATATGCACACGCACATTTGTGGTGTTAAGAAAAAAAATGCACGCACTCAAATTTGTTGTGCGATTTTAAATTTCACATCGCACAAAGCGATGATTGTGCACACAGATTCGTGCACACACATTTGTGCTGTGTGACTGATTTTTAAAAATGTGCACAATCAGATGTGCGAGAAAATTTTATGCTCGCACCGCACTGTGCGACAAAAAATTCTCTTTGCACACGAGTGTGCTGCTCATATTACGTTTGCACAAATGTGCACAAATGTGCGACTGCACAAACGTGCACAAATGTGCGATGCACAAACGTGCACAAATGTGCGATGCACAAACGTGCACAAATGTGCGATTTTGCGCTTGCACCCAAGGGTGGAAAAAATTACAGGAACTTCACAATTTTGTTTGAAATAGAAAATATTATTTTGTTGCAAATTTTGAAAAAAATTGATATTTGCGTTCGTTGGGATCGTAATTTATGTTAAAAATTGCATAAATTAACAAATATTTAAAATAATTATTTTTGTTAATTAATGTAAACTAAAAATTATAACTGTCTTAACCTTATTTGTATTTTAACTTAAAATATTAGTTTTTTGTATATTACTTTGTGCATTTTTAAATGCAAATATAGTAAGTGAACTTAAAGTATTTGTTTGGAAAGTTTTGCACCAGTTTAAAAAAAATAAAAACATATTTTAGGAAGATTTTTTTATGCCCAAAAAATATGAAAGATTAGGAAAATATTTTTTTTGAACAGGTAGCAGGTATTGGTATTGGTGTATTTGTTTAATAAATTTTGCAACAGTTTAAAAAAGATAATACGGGAGGGCCACAAATAGATATTTTTCTTCTCCAGAAATATGTATTCACATAGGTAGAGTATCTAACATTCATTAAAAAACGCGAAAGATTAAGAAAATATTTTCTTGAACAGGTAGCAGGATTTTAGCGCCCTTTCTACTGTGATAAGTAAGCAGAGATATAATTTAAGTGAAAAAAATATTTCAGCAATGTTATTAATAAGATTAAATGAAAATTTATTTCAAAAAAGATGTAATAAAAATTATATATTTTATAATAAGAAATTAAGATATTAAATTATAAAATTATTTCAATAACTTTGTTAAATTTAAGCTGTAATTAAAGATAAAAAATTAATTGAAATCTAATAACAAAATTAATTCATGTTGTTGTAAAAAATATTTAATTTGCTTTTTATAACCTTACTAACGAATCTTAGTGTACAACTTACTATTAAATAAAATTTTATGAAGTAGTCCAAAATTGATATATTTAATTTTTTCAAAGTACGATCCGTAGAACCGATCCTCTTTACTTATAACATTTCGAAACAAATACTCTTTCTCTATTAAATTCATGTACCTATTTAATATAACAAAGTTTTCAAGTACATTGTGAAATTAACTTTATTCCCATATTTTAAATTAATAAACCTTAAAAAAATAAGTAATATAAGCAATAAATGTAAATCTAATAATAAATTCAAAATTAAAATATAAATACAAAATTATTTCTTCAATAAAATATTTCGCATTAAGACCAAAATTAATACAAATCAGTTTTCCGTACTATTTTGCTGCGATATTTGTCATAATATTGTGCGCTTTTAAATCATCATTTCACACAAACGTGCAGTAGACATTTCGTCTCCGCACATTTGGGTGCATTTTTATTTTCGAGCCTGCACACAAAATGTGCTTCTCGTATTCTTTTCTGCACACGTTGTGTGCGAGGGCAAGTTGGCTGCCGCACACACAATGTGCTGTGCGAAATAACTTCGGCACAAACACCGAATGCGTGTGCGAGTTTTATTTCACTCCACCACACTCGTGTGAAATGTGCGTTTCGTTTGTGCACACAAGATGTGCACTTAAGATGTGCACAAAAATTTTCGCACACCACATTTGTGGTGTGAAATTTTAGAATCGCACAACATTTGTGCGTGGTGTTTTGCATTTTTGTGCACAGCACAGTGTTTTTCTGAACCCTGGTTATAACATTGATATATTAAATAATTAATATTAATTATTAATTAAATATTGAGTTCTCTATAGAATAGAAAATTTTATCTATAAAAAATAGATCTATATATATTGGATCTATGGAAAATTTTTGAACTAAGAGACTAGTTTGCCAGAAAGCAGATGAAGCTATGTTGTTTAGTCTTGTATCTCTTTTTGTGTTGCGGCATAAACAACATTTTTCTTTGAAAGAAAAACGTACTGCACATAAATGGAGAATTTATAACTATTCTATTATAGCTGCTTTACTAGGACTTCACGTCGAAACTAAACCCATATCTCAGTAGCAGATGAACAGAATTCCTTACTAGTTAGCTATTGGACAAAAAGCTTGTCAGCCTTAGTACGTATCGCAATAATTTATGGCTAGTAATTAGTTCTTAACTAGAAAAATAACTTTTTAATGTTTTACGATACAATACTTTATGTAAAAAAGAATAATAATAAAAGGTTTAAAATAATTTTTAAATTAGTTTAAAATTTAATTGTGAATATTAACATTTAAAAAAATATTAAGCAACTACTTATATTACATTCAGTTTATAAA